AGGAAGAGCGAGATGAAGGCCAGATCATTACTAGGAGAGATTCCACTCTAATGCAAACTGTTTATCAAATAACTGTCTAAATGGTGCTTTGTGCAACAATCAAGAAATAGAGCATTCAAGAGAGCGCATCAGTCCCATGATGCCAATGCTACAATTGCTGCGTGAACTTTGCAGAACTCTTTTTTCCAGACTAGGAATGGAGCACAGATACAGGGGAACCCTCCATTTAACTCTGTCTGCAGAAAATACCTTATAGGAAGACTGCCTGAGTTGGCAGATGTTACAGGAAAGTAGTTAATTCTGCTTTTAGTAGCTACTACTTTATTACCGAAGCTGAGCAAATGGAAGAGATTAACATGGATGAGAGCCAACATTGCAACAAAACTAGTTCCCAAAATAACATGCTAAAACTATACCAATTAAATCAATACAACTGATAGGCATGCATTCGCTACTAATTTTTTACTCTAATCCAGTTCCTCCTTTCACAGCACAGGTAGCTGTTGGAACACAACCATTTCTGGAATTCCAATTTAACAAATTAAAGCTAGTAAGTGTAAATCGTTAACTAAAGCCCTTTTTTCACATTAGATCTTCAGAATATTTTCTCCCTGCTCTTTTCCAAGCTCATCATATCCTCCATAAAATAAAACCCTGAACTATTATTGACATTGATCAGATATAAAAACAACCTTAATACAGAAACATGATTGCACAGACACTAGAGCTGAACAAGCAAGCCCACCATATGTGTGAAGATAACCATGTTTTGATCATTTATATACATTCATGAGAGGTGTCTCAGCACTAATCTCTTTCAGGCTACAATACTCCACCCCCATCAACAGGTAGCTTTCATACTCTTTGAGGAGACATAGGTAGGTCATTGCCATCCAAGGAATATTGGGCAGGATAAATTCAGAATATTTTACCCAAATAAGTCTTCTGTTTATTTTTAAACAGAGCATCCATCAGTTAAAAAGGGACTCTGAACTTCTTACGTGAGAGTTTTTACTTTTCTGTTCTGATTGCTGTTGGCAAAAAGGTCCTTTAGGGAGTCCTACATAAAACAGCCACTGGCCTATCCAGTCATCCTCCTCTGTGCACATAATCAACCTCTAGCCTGTCCTATTTCAGCTGTAGAGCAGCTGATGATGTTTAACAGTATCTCACCAAGATTTGCTCTTAAACATCAAAAGTGCTATATTATTAAGACAACGCTAGACAGAACTAATGACCCACCAGTAAGGTGCACTTGATCCTAGAGAATCCAGCCAGATATATGCATTAAAAACATCATAAACTGAAGAGATGATCAGCACTTTTGTGTGACAACATCGTCATGTCTAATACCATCCACACTAATTGTGTACAAAATAGTTTATATACATTCTTTGTATATAATGCACATAATGAAAAAAAAAAAATGCCCTTCAACTGACAGTACAATTTTATTTAGAAATCACAGAATCAGGCTAGACTCTGCATATTTCATTACAGTACTACTTAAACCATAAATCTTTCTAGTACCATTTTTTCAATTTAACCCTCTTAATTAGAATCCAAATTAAATGAATGCCTTCTGTGCTTTCACATTCTCATTTGTGTAACCTTTGAGGAGAATGACAAACAAAAATCCATTTCAGCATACTGGATGGCATTCAGTGCACACATTGAGCCTCATTTTTCAGCTCTTTTTATTAAGCTCTCTGTTTCAAGAAAACTGCAGCATAATTTGATACACAAGATAGTTAGCAACTGTTGATGGATACAGAAACTGGAAAGCTAGCAAGACCAAATACACAAAAATAGAGGCAGTCAGGAAAGCAGTTTCAAATTTCTCATTTAACTCACAATTTTAGTTATCAGTGAAGAGACTAGGTTTGACAAAAGATCATCAGTTACAGTGTGGCTACAGCCACTTAATGAAATCTGACTAAGATTTCAAAGAAGTTTCTCAACTTCAGAGCACTCACTACCTGCCATCCAACAAAAAAAGTGACCACCATCAGATACAATTTTACTCTCCCACCCCTAATATTAGCACAAATACAACTACAACTATTGCAAAATTCAGGTCATAAAACACATACTGCAACTAAGCTGCCACATTTCCATCCACATCTCAACTTTCTATGATTCTCATTCTATAGGCCTCTTCATATAAAAGCAGTCTGGACAATAAGTTCTGGTCTGACATTCACAATCTTTATTTTACTTCATCTTACCTTCTGAATACAGCACTCTATATCCTTTCCACTTGGCTTTAAAATTAGGCATAAAACTAGGTTTTCATTAAGTCTGAAAAGCTAGTAAGATGACTGCTTCCATTCAAAATTCACATACTACTTTAAACTGGTCAAAGGTTTGCTATTAGGCATTATTTTTTGACAGATTCCTGAACTACTACTCTCACCCACCCAGCTTCAGTACCCAAAGACAAAGCCTTAGTTTTAAAGCTGAATGAATTAAGACGCAAAGTGAAAGAGAAGCTTGAAAAACAGAAAAAAAAAAAATTAAATAACAAAACTTTCTGTAGAACTCGGGTTATCTTACTGCAGTGTTTCAGAAGACATATAGATATACAGCCTACTCAAGTGTCTCCAAATAATGCTATGTTGAACTGTTAAAATTGCAAAGGCATTTCAAAACTGAGGGTTTGTTTGTTTTGCTTTGGTTTTTGTTTGGTTTTTTTTTTGTTGTTGTTGTTTTTTTTTTTTTAATTTAAGCATCCTTTTCAGATATCTAAATTTATAAGATGTTTAAAATGGCTTCACTATTAGTAATTCAGCAGGTTTTAGGATCTCCTACCTAGCAGTAACAAGCTTTATATAAAAAGAAATACAGAAGTTGGTAACTTTCTAACTCTCTATAAACATAAAATGAAGGGCTACCTAAAAATAGTTAAGCAGTGTGAGGTAAAAAAGCTGCAAGATTGCAACAAATCCCTTGCACCAAATACTCATATTCAATCATGTTCAAGACTCGAAGTGCAAGCATTTCACTGCAACTCAAACTCTGTCTGGACTCTTAAAAAACGAGCTTAAAGAATCCAATTGTTAACAGCTTCCTTTTCTCACACACAGAAAGCTTAAAAAAAAAAGGTGTTACTTTTTCAGACCAGCCCCACAACTGCAGACAGCATGCTAGTAACCAAGAAGCTGGCTTATTAACATACCGACTTAGATACTTCTTTTCACAGAATGACTCAGCCTACTATTTTCAAAGTTTTCCTTAAATATTTGTCCTACATTTTACAATAACAGTTACCAACTACAGAAAAACACATGCCATAAAGTCTTAACCACTTTACAAAACTGAGCGTAGAGATTAGCTATGCGTCCACATTTGCATCCACTAATCTAATCCTTTCTGAAAATGAAAGCTCAAGGTATTCAATACCGATCTTTCAGAGGTAAGTGAATGCTCTGTACAAGTTCGAGAAAAAAAGACTCAAGCTTCTCCATAGCACAGTTTAGTGTTTGCAAGATAGAAAAGCTTGCCAGGAGTTTCCCTATCAAGAACAGCACTCTTAAAATTGCAGTTTTTAATAGGCCAGCGAAGAACAAGGTAAGAGAGCAGCCACATAAGGAAAATTTAGTTTACAGCTGTCCGCTTTAAACAGAGGTATGCGTATCTATAAGGAGTAGAAGCTTCAGTTGAAAAAGCTTTCCACCATTGCTCGCAGCTCGCTCTCAAAGTCTGTACCGCAGACGTATTGGAGAATGAGCGTTTTAAAGGGAGGAGGAGAGGATGCCATGAAGGCTGCCTTCCCCTCAGTGCCAGGGACGCCGGCTGACTGAACCGCCGAGGAAAAGCTCACACCGCCGAGACGGCCGCGGCATGTGCTGCCATCAGCTCCGAGGCGGCGTGCGAGCCGGGCTGCCGCCACCGGGACAAAAGCACCGCCCAAGGACCGGGCCGGGCATGAAGGGAAAAGGTTTGAGACCCGCGCGGCAAGGACACGGCCGGCGGCACCGGGGCTGGCCCGGGCATGGCGCAACCCCCTCCCCGGGGCGGGCTCCTCGTCGGGGATCCCCCGCTCCCTTCCCTCTGCCCAGACCCCGCTGGGCATGTGGGTGTTCACCGACCCATCCCTAGCCCCCCCCCCACACACCACCCTTGAATTTTTACCTTCATCTTCGAGCTCTAGTTTCTCCAGCATCCCTTCGGAGGCGGCCGGGAGCTGAGAGGGAGCCGGAGCCGCCGCTACCGCCGCCGCCTGCGGGAGGGAAGAGAGGAGAAGGAGATGAGCATCCAGGCGCGGACTCACCGGCCCCGCGGCAGCATCGGAACAGCCCGGCGCGGCGGAGGGGGAGTGGCGGCGCTGAGGGGACGGCTGGCGCGGTTCCCGCCGAGCGCTGAGGGAAAGGGGAGGCGGGACGGCGCTGAGGCCGGGCAGCGGCGGCGGCTGCCCCTCGGCCTCCCACACACGCACGGCTCGGTGTGCGCTGCCTCTTACACACACACCCCGCACGCTCCGAGGGGGGAGGAACCGGGACTCGCCCTTCCTTCCCCCACCACCACCCTTTCGCGGCGGCTGCGCCCAGCCCATTAACCCTACGGCCCCCGGGCTCCCCGCCGCCGTGCCTCCCGGAGGCGCCCCCTCCCCCCTGCGCACGGAGGCAGTGGCCGCTGGCGGGCGGTCGCCGCACGGTGAGGCCGAACGCCCTTTCGCAGGACAGTCCTTCCCGCCACACCTTGCCGCCGCCTCTCCCCCGGCCCCCCCCCCTCCGGAGGAGGGATTGGTACGTTCCATTTTGCTGCAGTCAAGCCCGTTGGTCAGCGGCGGGAGGGGAAGGTAACTACCACTTCCGCGCGCGAAAGGGAGGGGGAAGAGGGAGAGGCTTACTACCCCAGAGCTCTGCCAGGCCAGCCGCCTTTCGCAGCCCGCTCCGCAGGCTCGGCGGTTCGCCTGGACGCTTTGCACTAGAGCAGTGCAAGAGGAGGCGGAGGGGAGGAAAACCCTCCACTCTTCCCTCGCCAGACGGAGTTGGTATGGTCCTGAGCGTTCACCTGCAAGGCAGCCGCGGGGAAGCCGACAGTTCCACTGCCCTCCGGGGGGTGTGTGTGTGTTGAGGGGGTTTCCCCCGTGTGTGACAGGGAGCTCCCGCAGTGGTCTGAGCCGCCATCCCGGGCTACCCGCTCTGGGAATAGACGCGCTCGTTTCCATTGAAAACGTTCGAGAAGTTACAATTCAAGGTTAGCCTGAATGTCGGCGTCTACCCATGTAAGTCGCGCGCCTCGCTACCCCTCGGAGCATCTCCTGAGGAGGAGGAGGAGGAGGGAGGTAGCTGAGCGCCCTCCTCATAACGCTCTTCAGCTCAGCCAGAAGTTAGGGGGGGACTTGACCCAGGGATTAGTGAGTGAAATTCTACTTTACATTGTGCAGCAGATCAGACGAGATGATCCTACTTTAAAAATCACTCTTGAAAAAACGACAACAAAAAAATGTGACTGCCCCACCATGGCTGTCGCTACAGACAATAGCGGCAGTTTTGGAGCTGTTCTCCACCGCACTGGGTGTGAGGTGGTGTCATGCCCTGAGCTCGCCCTCAGGTACCTGAGCACATAAAGCTGGCAGCCCAAACCACTTGCTATTAACAGTGGCTGAAGGATGGAGTTTGCTCCGTGGGAGGCTTCTGCTTACCAAGAATGGGATCTATTGCACCCAGCTTTACAAGTCTGCATCCGAGCTTGTAAACCAGGCTACATCAGAATCAATGGAAATAAGGAAATACTTGAAATGGATTCGTCATTTCGATTTATTTAGACAGTGAGATGTGGTAAGCTGTAGCTAGGCTTCCTTAATTATAATGAATAGGTCCCCACTGACTGTTTAGGAAGCCCAGCAGGACCAGCTCAGACATGGACGCTGTAGAGGTGGATAAACAGATTATTTCTTTGGCAATGGCAACAGATTTAGTGGGCAGACACACATGCATGGTGCTCCAAAGGAATCACAGGAGCCATTAGAGATCATTTAAAATCTACTGGTCCCTAAGGAGAGGCTCGAGCTTCAAAAGTTCAGCAGGTCCTTCAAGGAGAGAATGTTGAATAGATCAAGGATAGCACATTAATGTGCATATAACATAGGAAAGTATGAAAGGTAATTAGAATTAAAGTTATGGTGGGAGGAGAGAGCCATAAATCATGGGAAAACAGAAAGCTGTCTGTCATTTCTCAAGTCCAGAGAAGTTACATGAAAGGCAGCTAACCGCTGGTGACAGCTGCTTTTTCTCAAGCTGCCTCATCCTAGGGACACTTTTAAGGCTAGACGAGGAGGTTACCAATATCTTCTTTACCGTAAAGATCCTTTGGAAAGAAAATCCTAAAATATTTGATTCTTAGTTGTATTTTTAAAAGGCTTCTAGGATTTCAGTAAATGCTCTAACTGACCAGCCACGGAAGATACCAAAGCAGTTCATATTAATTTATAATATTTTCAGTCTACTAATTAAAATGCTTTTGAAGCTTTTCATTATCTCTGGGAGCTATCTCTAAAAGCTCTAAATAATTTATCTTCCTTATCATGTACCTTGATACCGATAAGAGTTTTTAACCTCTTTTGCTAACCAAAAGAAAAAAAGATTAAGATGACATACATGATTGGAATTAACTGCCATGATTTTCTATCTTTTTTTTAAAACAAGTATTTTCTACCCATAATTATCCAGTAAGCGCCAGCCATGAGGAAATACAGCTCTGAGGATGTTTGTAGCTGGAAGTGACACCTAATCTTCAAAGATGTGCATTGCATTTCACCTGCTACAAAACACAGATATGTTTATAAGAAGTCAGTTAAGCCTATTTCAAGCAGTGAGCTACACTGTGCTGTGAACTTGAAGCTTACTGCAAGATCAGGGTTTTACAGTGGCAGAATCTGCATCCAGACCAAGAGTACTATGAAAAACTCAAGAAAATATGAAGGCATTAATTTAATATATGACAGGGATTTGTAATGGAAACATTATAGCTATGTTGTAACATCCACACTGCTAAAAAAACCTCCAAAGGAAACAGAGAACTAAAGGCTGAAACTCCATCCTTCACTCTCTGTACAATCTCACAATTGGTTTGAACCAATTTTGGAACAATCTGCTGATTATGGCGTTCATTTTGCTCCTCGCTTTGCATTCTAGCTCCTTTTGGCTTGTAGGCAATGCAGTGAGTCAGAACAGGAAACTGATGCAGCTGAAAACCAAAGGGACTAAAAGCAAAGATTGTTTTTTATCCAGACCAGTTCCCGATCCAATTCACTGTGCAGTTGTATCAGCTAGCACTGGCACAAAGAGTGCCAAGGGCAGGAGTGACAGTGGGACCACACCTTCTAGAAACAACCCACTCTTAAGTCAGCTTACATCAATGGTGAAAACACCATCTTGTTCATTGTGAACTACTACAGCATTAGACAAATTAGCAGATATTTTTAACAGTTGTAGGTATTACCTCTCTCTACAAACTCTGCCTGCCATTTTACCAAAGGATTGCTGGTTGAAGATAGGGAAAAGATCTGTCTTTCCAAGGACCTATAATTCCCACCAAGATGATATTATATATTGTAACATTTCAATATATGTTCATTGTGACTATTTCTTTTACTGCCACAGGAGGTTTGTATTAACTATAACCAAGGGATTTGTCTAGATTATGGTTTAAATGTTTGCTATCAGAGTGTGTCAGGTAGCCCATTTTAACTGTTTGAGATATCCAATGCGACAAGATAGTATATACTTCGTATACTAAGCAAAATAAATTTTATATATAAAAGTTTAGAAGACATATATATGCAAAATCAAAACTGCCTGAACACACTGCTGATTTGCAAGGTTTCAATTCAGTTTTTACAGGGGCATTATTTATGCGAAAAACCATGGACCTACAGCATAATACTAATACAGAAGCTTAATACAGCAGTGCCAGCAATCTTTGTAGAGGCAAAGTAAAACAACTCAAGGTTGATACAACAGCAAAAGTCATAACAAGGTGGATGTAAACAAAAGAGATTTTAGGACTTCTGGGAAGGCTAGAATGTAAATTTTAATAGGTAACCGCTTTGTCTCTGTTTTCTTCAGCTTTCTAGGGTAAAGGCAGTGACTGACATTATGTGGAAATAAAAGCAGTCCTGTAAATTATATATGCACTTATAATGAATATGTTAAAACCTATCTGATAATCTAGGAATCCTTTTAGTCCGATGTCCTACTGAAGGAATTCCATTATTTTCATAAGTATTTAAATTATAGGGACAGTTCAGGGATGTGAACAGCAATTAACATCAGCAGATTATTTCTGATATAGTTTCCTGCCATCTTGCCTCCCTGAATTAGCAGGAATACATCCATTGGGATAGGGATCTCTCAGTGGCAGACATCAGAGCAGCTGTATCAAAATGCTTTGAATGACACCTGCTGTGTAGCTTTTCATATTGAATAAGTTACCCTAGGCTGCTACTTCTGCAACCGGTGGAGAAACACATTTCTGGGACATTGTTCACATGGCCTATTTTAGACATCTACTTCGGATAAAATGATTTGCAATCACTGTACTGACTAGATCGATACATTTCACTTTGGTCAAGTTCATTCTGCTTAGCATAGCTATCTGTAAGGGAAGATGGAGGGAGGGAGCCAAGAAACTATAAACTGTTCACTGTAACTTTGACTGCAAGATGGGTAAGAGAACAAATACACCCATTTTAAGTGGTTAGAGGGAAGAAAGATCATCAGTAACAGCCAATGCGTATAAACAATGCCAACCCAATCTCATTCACTTTAATAACAGGCTAGAAGTCTTGTGGTAAGCAGATGCAGCATGAGTTAACAGAACTTTTGACAGTAACTTGCATGAATGCCCACACAAGCAAGCCAGAGAGTCTAGATGAAACAACTGCTAAATGTCACAACAATATTCACAAGGAAGGTAGTAAGATTTCTTTATCTAACTGGAAGGGTTTAAGGGAGAGTTCCACAGAGGTCTGTGTTCTATCCGATATCATTCAGTGTTTTCACTGATGACTTGATGGAGGAATAATGAATAACCTGATTGCGTTTTCAAATGACTCAACGGTAAAAGATGCTACTCTTTTAGGAGTAGCCTTAGAACTTAAAATAATCTTGAGAAGTGCTGCAATGCTTTGAAAAACAGGATGCACTTTGATATGGGTAAGTAGAGCACGTCACACAATAATCAAATGCAAAAATAAAATGGGAAAGGATTGGCATGCAGCAGTCATGCAAGGAAAAGAACTGAGAATGAAAATAAATGTCAGACAACACTATCAGAAGCTTGGAAAGAAAAATCACACTATCTACAAAAGTGTTACAGGTAAGACACAGAGAATCTGTTCTGCACATTCCATGGTTAGATGTCAGCTGGAATACTGCATTCAGTTTTGGGTATTGAACTCAAGGATGAGCCAAAGAGAGTCCAAAGAAAAGCAACAACAATGATCTAGGAGTCCAGAAAACATGACCTGTAAAGAAGGACTTCAAAATCTCCCAGTTTCTTAGTCTAGGAAAAAAAAAAAAAAAGACTGAAGGAAAATATAACAACAGCCTCTAAATATAATGTGTTTCTGCAAGAAGGAGAGTGATATACTATCTTCTGGGTCCACTGGTTATGGGGTAAGAAGTTATCTACTTAGCCTTTAGCAAGGAAGTCTTAGGTTGGACTTTGGGAGAACTTTCTGAACATAACAGTGATGCACCAGCACTCTTTGCTGAAAAAACTTGTCAAATCTCTGTCATGGGAGGTTTTTAGCAACAGGTTTAAAAAAAACCCCAACATTTGTTGGGAATTATTTACACATAGTTGATTGTGCTGTGGGGAAAATGAATTTTTAATGTCTTTTTCAGACTTATTTTCCTTTGTTTCTATTTTTGTCCCATCTTTAGAAAAATGTATTTAGTCTTAGTGTGATAATTCAGCTAGAAGTCTTTATATGTATGTTTTGTACAAAAGCCAGCTTACTAACGATCTAATACAAACATAAATTTGCTTTGCCCCTCACCCAAAAAAGTAGCCTTAATTCTAAATCAGAAAAATTCTAAAGCAAATATTGCTTGAGTAATAATAAAGATAACATATTAGTCTTTGATGGCTTGGTAAAAATAGAAAGAACAACCTAAAAAAAAAAAGAAATGTTGCTGCAAATCACAAGTCCATGTGAAGCAGACTTATTCAAGCATTGCAACAAAAACATTACCTGTGCTTTATTTAGAAATAGGCATTTCCAGGTAACTTTAAGGCTGTCTTTCTCAAAGCTTTTCCTGACTTTTCTACTCCTCCTTTCATTCTGATCAATGAAGGCTTAATGCCAATATGCTAGGGGTGCTACCTGCACAGCTCATAGTTCAGCAGTAAAACTGAATGCCCTTCCAAGTACTTCAGGAGGAAAACAAAAGCTACTTACCTTATAAAACCTAATGGATTGAAGAGCAACAAGAAGGAATTCCCATCTAAATGCAAATCAAAGCAAACCCATTTTGAATGCAAGAGTAAACTACAAATGGTAATTTTCCCACCATTTGCCAGTGCTCCTTACTACAATTACAGTTCTATACAACTCAAGTAGTTAACAGCTCTTCTCTTGATGAGCTGTCAATGAACAATTTTGTATTTTTTCAAATGTATGTCATAGATATGCTTATTCTGTTGCAATCTGTTTGTGCAAAATTAATTTAAAACACTTACTGCTTATTTTTGCTTTAATTTAGTCTGGTTCATGAAGTGGAAAAAGAAGTTATCAGAACAAAAAAAGGTTTTATCTGCTGGTTAAACTGTAAATTAAACTCCTACGTGTATTCTGCTAGACTGTGATAACTGAATACCAGTGGTTTAAGACAGCCGAGAACACTAGAATGAGGCTGAGAGTGGGATCCCATCTTGGATCCCTTCTGTATTTAAAAATGCTAACTGCATGCTGAAAAGGCTGACTATGGGGTGGCAGTCCCTGGGTCTATTAGGTGGTTAGAGAACATGATCAATGCCAGTGAAGAGCTCTGGGCCTGGTTCTGATACAAAGTCCTCCTTCCCTCGAAAAGCTCAGAGTGAACAGAGCAGCTAGGCAGGAATTGTAGTTTCTATCATTTATTCTAAGGAACGTCTGTTACAGCACCAAGCAAACTGGGAATGAAGGGGATGCCTCATACAAAATACTGTATTAAAGTCTTTTCTTCCTGTACCGGGAAGGAATGCAATAAAATTTGCTCTAGTCAAAAGGCTTTTGAAATATTAAATGCTATAATAATGCCAGTGTGTAGCATGTATAAATGAAGGTGGTGACAACTCAGAGGTTACAGTTTGTTTAGAACACATTAACCAAATCCCATAACAAAACCTGGCATTGAAAATGCACTCCACATTGGCATTTTATGTTCTCCACTGCATCCTTATTGGTGTCGGTTTGGTGCTCTGTCCTTATTCTGCAGGGCCCTCAATGAATTAAAGACACGACTATCCTGCAGGAGGTATGAAAGTGATAGAGCATGTGTATATATTCTTTATGTATTTCTAATACTGTATAGTAAGGTTGAAGATGTCTCTAAGGATTTAATTTTAAAACGGTTCGACCAGAGTTTGTCATCAGATAAGAACTCTACCTTGAAAGGATTTTTTTATTTCATCCCAATATATCATCAGAATGACTCCCCCAGTGGTTCTAAGCAGGAGTCTTTTGACATGGATTACAGAACAATTATACATTGCTTTTACAACTAGTAACTAACTTCCCACTGCAGGTATCCTCCTAAATAACAGTAGCTATAATATTAATTACTTTACAGAGTTAATTATTAGTGCTAAGCAGTCACAGCTGGGGATCTTTAGTAGGTTAAATGGATAACATAAATGGAACAACAATCAAATTCAGCCAAATCCTTAAGAAAAAAAGAGGAGAGAATATAGGAGTGCATTCAACGCTAGGAAAGATGATGAAATGGACAACTTGCATTTCTACTAAATCTTCACTGCAATTACAGCACTGAATGTTGAAATCTGTTTACCCTGAAGACATGTGAACTGAATGTGCAGAGTGATTTCACGTTTTTAGCAGAGAGCCCTTCCTAAGTATTTCTGTATGGAAATGAACTTGCAGTTTAATCACAGTGAGTTCTGTCACTGACTTAATTGAGAAACAGGAGATAGATTTACAAAACTTCCTTTGATCTAACACCAGAAACAAAGAACCTATCTTATACATGAACAGTGTCTTGCCACACCTCACTTGAAGAAAAAACATGGTACTAGTGACAGAAGAGTTAAGCACTTCTAAAAAATAAACTTCAAAGGAAGTAGAAGACCAAGAAGTAGTCTAGATCCTCAGCTAAATTCTTACAGAAGAGTCAAAGCAGAAGTGGAGAAGAGGCAGGATTTGTTTACATAACCTCTAATCTCTATCTGTATGTCTGATTCCGTATCACTCTGCAACTTGGCTAAGGCTGACTTTTGAGTCAAGAATATCAGACGCATTCTCTACATAAGCCTTTGTGGCCAATATTCATTCCTCAGATTACTCTTGTAGAGTATGGGTGGAGTCTGAATTAATGCTATCAGCATGACATGTTATTAATCAAACAGGCCAACAATTTAAATTCTGTCCTTTTCAACACAAAGTTCAAAAAAGTTAAGTACTTGTGAGGAACTAACCTGAGTTTGTTAAGAATACTGATGTTACAAGTGTGCTACCTGATTCTGTGAATGCAGGGATGCCACTTAGTTTTAATCTATTACAGAGTTTTTAAGTGTTCTTGTCTTAAATGTTTGTTATCAGATATGCTCTAAAAGATAAACTTCAGCTGTTTTCACACCTATGCTTGAGTGCTCCTTAGTCTCTTTGAAATAGGACCTACCTCTTATCACAGTGAGGGGTGCACAGTTAAGGGCAAGGGGAAATTATTGCTGGAGAGAGCTGCAATAATCAGGTAATAAGCATAATTACAGTAGATATTTTGTTATGACAAAGGTACATTTTAAAAAAAAAAAAAAAAAAAAAAACGGAAGAATGGATTAAAATAATACTGATGGTAAAAAACAGATAAGCATCCACTAATTGAAAGTGGATGGAAAAGAAGAGTGAGCCCACATTTACATAGGTCTTCATTCACTGGCACTGAATACAGAATTATTTTAGTTGAAATTAAGCACTTACTTAAGTACTTTAGCTGCATCAAGGCCAGAGCACTGATGCACTGAGTGTGGAGTAGTGCTGATGTACTACTGAGTACAGAGTACTGTCTGCAGAAGAGAGGCCACTGAGAATAACAAATTTAAAAAAAAATACTCAGAGCCAAATCTGATTTAAATAGACACATTTACTACACACTATTTTGCTTTTTTTATTTTAGTGTTATATTTCAAAGCCTTGGTCATGGATAGTGACTTCACTGTGCAAACACTTACTACACCAGCTTTCAATGATGATACTTTTTAAACTTGAAATGAAACACCTTTTCCTACCAAAGTTAATTGATACCACACTTCAGGCTTGAGTAAACTGCAAAATTCTAGTAACCTATTGGTGCCCTACCATTAAAATATAATTTTCATGACCATCAGCAGTTTTGAAAGGCTAGAAGCAGATCTGTTGAGCCTAGATGTTAGCAGGATGATGCAGGTCAGAGTTACAAGGGTGGTTTACTGAAAAACAGAGACAACCTTCAGCTCAGAGCTGAATCACCCACAGTCTCAATGAGACTTCTTCAGGAAGTTTACACAGACCTGCACTGAACAAATAGTTCACTCTGTAGCATGGGCTGCACAAAACGGGTAACTGCAGACTAAACGTGGAGCAAATGAGCTGCTCTGTAAATGGCCACTTTCTGCAAAGCTTATCATAACTGAGGATCTCAGTGCTCAGTAGGACTCCAGGAGTATTTGAAAGCTACCTCAGAGGCAGGCAAAGATATTAAATTATTTTTCAGTGCAGTTCTAGGAGGACTTTAAACACCTAAGGACTTCCTTGTAGCACCTGGGGCTTATGTGTTTGCATTAGATTTCAAGCCTACCCCACAGCTGACAAACTCTAGGCATTAATGCCAGCAGTGACCCTACTAAAGCTTGTGAAGTCTGTTATCTCAGAGTAGCTACTATTAAGCACAGACAAACCAATATCTTAATAAACTTCCTTCAACACAGAACCAATGGTTGACCTGTAATCTCCAAATAAATTAATTTTTGACCAAAAGCTGGTTTTCAGATGGCACTGAATTTGCACAGCTTGAGAAACCTAACCCTCTTCCTGAGTTACTTCCAGATCTATTGCTGATCACTACAGACCTAATTTCTGTGCGCTGTTTTGTTTTCATTGTTATGCACAAAAGAAATCTGCAATGACAGCAACATGCAATGGATATCTTCCTTCTGTCATGCATGTTTTCCCTTTTGACAGTCTCTTAACTATATCCTTCTGTCATTTCAGGTACACTACAGGTGAAACCAGATCGTCCTCTGTACTGGTTCTGTGGTTTGACACCGTCTGGAAGGACTGAAGCAAGGACTGTGCTAAGCAAGAAGCATATCAGGTGTCTGAGCTAAATGTTTCATGACTACAAATAATGTCATAAAGAGACATGGAAATACTGGTAAGGCTTTTGTTGGTATTCCAGGAACTAGAACTGAAAAGAATTTAAATTAGTTCCATGCTAATGGACCAGGGATACACCTCCAGCAAGCCTGCCACCATGCTCATATTACTACAGAGGTTGTGGAGCTGCAGATACAAAAGTGTATTCATGAACAGTGGATACTCATAGTGTGGATATGGCAAACACTGGATTCACAATCATGTAAACTTAGACGCAGCTTCAGTCTGTAGTTAAATGTCTGCAAAGAGCTGAAATTATTTCTTGACGTGCTTCCCTCGGGCTCAGAAGAGCTCTTTACAGTGATCTTTTGTGTAAATCTTGATGTGCTCTGAAAACATGATAGCTTCCTTTACACAATTACAGTCTGCAGTGTAAAAGCCTGTCCTTACAAGCTTTAAATACAACATGTTATCTACGGTTAACTTAGCTTAAGACACTTGGAGCTCCTGTTCAAAAAATATCTGAGTTCTGTAGAACTTTTTTACGTATTTATCATCATAACGTCTCTTTGACACTGTAACTCCATTATTTTTATAAATGGGAAACTGAGGCACTGGGAGACCAAGTGATTAGAGTTGCACAAGTGATCTCTGGTGGGGCAGATGGTTGCAGCCAGCTCACTCTAATCTCCAAAGCATGCCCAGATACTGACACTGTATTTTTCTCCTTTTTAAACTCTTGTTTTCCTTAATGACTCTGCAGCTGAAACGCTCTTTGAATTCCAAGATTTATTCTCTAAAACAGCCACAGTCAGATGCTTGAGGCCACGAGAAAAAGAAGGAACGTTGAGGAAGGCATTCTTTTCTTCAAAATGTAACCTCTGGACCTCTAAAATCTTGGATGATGGAAGAAACGACTTGGTGACCAGTTTGTATTATGTCCTTTTGTACCGTAGCCATGCTTGGTGGCATCTTGCTCTCTTTTTCTGAAGACATATTCCAGGAAAGAAAGTTGTGCAATCTCTGTGGAAACTATTCCTCACACCACTCCCTAATAAATCTGCTTTAGCAGATTTGGATTCCTGTCCCTGTGTGCAACAAGTCTGTTGAGGTGCACCCTTGTGCAGTCATTATCAGCATGCTTAAAGGAAAGGGGTAGGAATCTGTTGTCTTCTTTCATAAGCCATGTCTTCATCAATAACCATTTCCATTTATGTAAGGAGCTGGATTCTGAGGTAGTACACACCATGAGTGTTTCCAAGTAAATACAATTCCAACACCCAAAGCTTGAAAGGCCAAACACACAACAGCAGGCAGATAGCAATCTTGCAGCTGCTGCTCTCCTTGCCACTCAGTGATTAGTGATTTTCCATTGTTGCCAGGATCTCTTTTCTAATTCCCAAGCTTTTTCCCTCATTTAGTCTTTTCTGAACCTTTAGTGTCTTCCCCAACTTTTTTTCCATCCTCTGCCTGTCCACCAGGTTCCTTTCTCATATTCAGTACTTGTGATAGTCATTTTAACTGTTTTAATAGACAATAAAAATTGTACAAAGACTCTGATCCAGTAAAGTGACTTGGCATGCACATAGCTTTAAGTGCTCTAGTACTGTTGACTCCAACAGGATTACCAATATACTTAAAATTAACCACACATTTAAGTACTTTCCTGGATCAAGGCCATCATCACATTGACATTGACCAAAACAAAACAGCATCTGAGATTCAGCAACATAAATACATAGCAACCTCAACCAAACTCGGTGCTGTAACCTTCAGGTTACCTTTCTTCAGTGCCTTCTGTCATTGCTAGCTATGTTATGGCTACACTTAAAATCCATTCTGCAAGCATATACTGGAAGCAGTGCTTAGGAACAATCCTGTTTAAGCCAATGCTTTCTTATGGTTTTAGAATTTGCCTGGCCTGTTTTGCTAGATCAGGCTCTTGGACGATAAGGTCCTCAGGGCAAGAATCATGTTTATTTTTCTACCTGAATCATATGTGTTCATATACCACAAACTAGCAATTAGTAACTTTTTGTTCTGAGGTACAAGGAAGAAGACTTTCTACATACTGCAGATGTCCTGGCTTGTGCAGTTGTAAGTGAAAAAGTAAGACAGATAAAAATGTCAAAAGTCTTATCACTGGCACTTTACCGTAACCCTAAACATGCAAAAAAATGAAATTAAAACCTTCCCTCTTGAATTCTGCCCCCTCACCTTCTTTTGCTGACCTTCTGCCTCCATTACCTTTTCTCTTTTATTCTCTGTTGATTACTTCACTGATTTACACTTCAGTTTATAAGCCCCATATGCTAGAAGCTTTGTCCTTTGCTAATCATAAAATAAGATTATGCATACCTTGGGCACTGTACAAATCATTATTGTCTTCCTACAAATGTCTTCCACATGGCCTCACCCTCAGTTCCAGCTGAGAATGCTGTTGTGAACAAGCTCAAAGAATAAATATTTTGCATTCATTTCACTAGCACAATGGAAACATTTTTCCAAGCTGCTGCCAAGATGGTATCTAGTCCTCTTCTGAGTCAGCAGCCCATGCAGCTGACTTTCAAACGGCCATACTTGCTTGATAGTAATCTTAAAAGAAAAAAAAAAAAAAAACAAAAAAAAAAACCAGACACAAGCTGTATTTGTAAAGAGCTGTATTGCTCTCCTTGTGAACAAGCAGGTAGTGACACTATAAAATACGAAAGATGGGGGAAAGAAGCCATACAGAAGTGAGTGTTGTTTGTGATGTCCCATTTATTTCTCCTAACTTTAACAGGCTATTTCATCCAGTCAGAGGAAGGGACAGGGGAGTGGTGTGAAGAAGTGGGAAAGGAATATCACTGCTTTATGTAGTTAATTTCCTTTCTGTATCAACCAGCTTTTTACATCCTTTAAAGTGCTGTTGGCCATTAAAGACAGTGTATGTAAAAATACAGTGTAGACGAAACCAGGCTAATAAAGATGAAGACGGAGAGGAATTCATAGAGTTCCCTTCCATAAGCATGTTTTTCTTATTCTTAGCTGTATTTTCCCTCTGGTCCAATACATAAGCAGGCATGGTGCAACAGAACTTGTTCAAAACTGTGCATCTCTCCTCCATTCTCATGGAAAGACTTTGGTCTGTAATCCCTACTGCTTTGTGAATAAACAGCCTAAATAGTAAATATTTTTTGTGTTCCAAAATTGCCCAGATAAAACTGGTAAGGAACTGTCACCAATCCTATATTAAGCTGCAGCTTTACATTAAATCAGAGAGTATGTATCTGGCTTCTAATGGCTGACAGAGCTCACTCTAAAGTGAAATTCTGATCTTCTGGCAAAATAACAGGATGTTTATTAAATTAACAAGTCTAAAATTCAGAAATAAACTGTGCCATGAGAAATAAGTTCAACGGGTAAAAACAAGCTGTCAATCTTAAAGCACCCTTTTACATCATATTACTTATTCAAAATATATCTATTTATATAGACAGATGAGGCCAGATCCTTAGGTTTAGCCTTTTTATACCGGGACTTAGGGTGATAAAAGTAACTTAGCTTTAAGCCACTAACTGTCTTCAGGATGCTGGGGTCATGATTTTGGTACCAATGTGTATCTTAAAAAAGACTCAGAAATGCTCTAGTTTTAATTGCCTTAGCTACTTATAGCCTTATGAGAGCTGTCAGAGCAGCTGGGAATTGATTGGACTCAGCATTCTGGCTATTCATCCTTCCCACCTAGCCCTTATCCTTTTGATCTAGGACTAGGAGGAACAGGAATTGTAGGACTTATGCCATTAAAATAAAGTATCCACTGAGTGAATCCATAGATAGTTGATTAAATTATCTCTGTGGCTGCAGAAAAAGCCACAAGCTGACATAGACACACATTTCCTTAGGGCAGAAAAAATCATCTTTATGCGTTACAATTTCTCTGCATCTTAAGATTGATTGCCATGAATCTGAACACTGCAACCAGGATACAAACACATTAGGAAATCAGTGTTTCAGAAGGATGTGACTGGGCATTTTTTCTCTAGACCAAATAAGTAGCTTTAAAAAAAAGCAAATGAACTGGTACAAAATGGGTAGTAAGATGTTTGTTGCATATTTTAAATACTAAAAGGGGAGGAAAATACCAAATGTGATACAAAAGATACAACTAATAGGGAAAAGGTGAAGTGGGAAAACAGAATATTAATAAAATGGGAGCTGTATTTAAAAAGAAATAGTGTGGTATAGCTGAAGCTTTCTATTTTTGTAATGTTTGGTTCCAGGTGAGTTTAGTGGTTCATTTCTTGTTTATATCTCACGATCTCACTATGGACTTTTCAACCACATGAAATAATTCTCCTGTGAGCCTATATTCAGTTCAGTGGAGCTACCATGATGCTCTGTTAAAGAAGACTGAAATCAAGTCAGGTGGACTCAAAACATTTTCTCATTAATATTGTACGTAATTGTTACATAGTTCATCAAAAAGTTATTAATTTACTAGGTTTGCAGTGGATTAGTTACCTGCCAACTGTTGGACAAATATATACCATTTTTAAATTAAACACACTTTCACATGGATAGCAACAGTTCCAGCAAAGGAGAAACGTTTAAACAACGACAGCTTGTTACAGCCCATAGGATCTATTAGAGAACAGAATCATCTCCCAGAAGGAGTGCTGGTATTAAGGCACTTAAAACTAGCCTGGACACACCACCACTGCAAGAGCTTTCTTCACTGGTAGATGACAGCCTTTCTGGCTCTAATTTCTGTCATCAGTTTACTGTGGTGTAAATCAAAGCTGAATCACAGTAATGTCTTGGCACTCTAATATATTGCCTTAAACCACATGAATGCTGAAATAGGGAGTTCTTGTACATTTGCAGACTGGATTCCTTTTTCCCAGCCTGTGCTTTTTTTTTTTTTTTTTTTTTTTTAAGGACATCAGAATCAAAGAACACTTTTCTGTTCTCTTCATCAGATTTAAATCTCTTTAATCAGCCAGCTAGATTATGGAGCTCTGATAGGTGGCATGGCTTTTTGGAGAGAGCCAAACTGAAGGACCTGCTGCACATACCCTGGTTCCCAGGCTCCTTGCCAGCAGCAGGGTGTGATGTAATAGCCTTTCACGCTGAACAAGTTAACAGCCCTGTTTTTGAGCTTACTACATTTTGGCTAAGAAACAGCATGAATAGCCTTGCAGGGAAGTGCTACTGTTTAACAAGCAGGTAGCTGCAGAAACAATCTTGTTTCCCTCTCTGGATCTAGGATTGGAAGAGAGTCCCAGCTGTACACTGCTCCTCTCTTCTTCCATATGCTGGAGCAGAAAAGACTGTGTAAAACGACTCCAGACTCTTTCAGTCCCTCCTGTGTGCTATATCTACAGTTTTAACAGGACTTGCTCATGCAAGCTTAGAGTAAGTCTCAGAATACCTTCTGGCTGAGAAGCCCTCCTGAAGAATGTTCTGGAAAATTACTTGGATCAGAAGGTATTTGGAGATCAGTGGTTAACTATACAATCATATGGAAAGGGCCACTTGTTCTGCCTTTGTCACTTCTTCTGAGCAGAGGAAGCCCCAACTTTGTTTACATCAAAAGAGAATCCAAAGGCAACTCCTCAGTTTGGAGCTACCATCTTCTTTCTCTGGCCTGGACTCCTCTCATGCCAGGAAAGGGGAAACCCATAAAGGCCAGGAAATGATGTACCACAAAAATTCTGTGTTTGCAGGAGACAGGGAATACTTCTATTTTCACAGTGTCTTATGCATCAGTGGAGGAAGAAAGGATAAAATGAAAAGGATACAACCACATTAAGCTCAACATACGACATTCCACTTTAAAATACGAGCAAAGCAGAAACAGGGCAAACATGTTCGTTATTGAATTTGCAACCTCTCTACATTCCTTTCATGGTTAGTAATGTCACATTAGAGAAGAGTTATCATTTACCACTTACTGCCTGAAGGTTACACAGTCCAAACAACACAAGGCCAAAGTACAGAGTCATGAACTGTACTGTGAAAAATCAAATTGCTCCTTCCCCATTTAATACAGTGCACAGTAATCTTTTGGTATAGCTTTGATCTCTTATCAGCTGAATTTCTCATTATAACCTTCTAACTCAACCACTAGGAACACCTACACACCCAGAGGAAAGCCTGGAAGAGCTGCTGCAATGGTGTGTCACAGCCTCATCACACCTAGCTTTGGGCACCTAACAGAAGTGCCTCCGTTAGAAATACAACACCCGGAGCCACTCCCTTTATAATCAGTGCAAAATGCTGTTCAGCCCACCGAAGATCTGTTTCATCCCCTGCAAATGCCTCTCTGTGGGATATAGAGACAACTAGAGCTACTGTAGTCCCAACTTAAGCAGCTCAGATAGGTTTCTAAAGTTAGGTGGGATAAATCCAGATCTTAGTGATTACCACAGACATCCATTTAGCATAAGGTTAATTGCTTAGGTTTGTATACTGTGTTGAGATGATACTCCCTGAAGGAGGATCTCCCTCTGTCAGGAACTATCTCCCACTTTTTGTTCCCCTTGCCTGAATCTAAGGCTTAAAAATCACATCAAAATATACACTGTCCAAAGTGCTACTAAAAGATGAAAGGTTTTGATTACATCCGCTGGGAAAGAAATGTTTTTATTCTTTCTTCCATGCCTTCTCCCTTACCGAACAGTTTTAACCAGTCTGTGCCACAGTCTCAGACATATAAAAAACAAGTACACAATCAGCTTCAAATGCAGTTAATCATAAAAATGGGCTAAGATTAGTTCCAAGTCCTGATCATGCACCTTACTATAGTTATCTGCTGTTCTGTGGGGTTTTTTAATAATAATTCCACGTCTGGGTCCAAGGGTTCTTCTTGGCTACTGCAATATATAGAGCAATCATGAATCATTTATAGTAGTTCTGGGATCTCACACATTATCATCACTAGTTAAACGATGTAATAAGTAAACAAAATTTAAGTTGACAGAGCCCTGTAGATAAGAGTTAACTTCTCATTTCAGATGTCAACATAGAAGCTTCCCTGTCATTAAACTGATCATCCAACAGCATGGCCCCTATGAAACCATTTATCATACAATTTATAGTGTGTTTTTAAGATAATTGGAATTGTTATGCCAAGCAATGGTGATCTAAGTAAACAAGAAATTGAGTTTGCCTTTTACAGATTTGTTTATGGCATGTGCATTGTGAAAACGTATTTATTAACACACAGCTCAGAATAAATGAAATGTTTGAAATACAGTACTCAAATCAAGAATGTTGGTCTATTGCTGTCGTATTTGTAAAGGAATGCTATGTAAACAACTTACAGGGATCAAAAGACACAACAGTCCTGAGTCAACACACATCAGCTTCAGATTCATGCCCTTCTGCAGAAACTTAGCCTTTCTCTCCTCTAACAGTTTGTCCTACTAGAAGAGCATGGCAAATCTCTCTGGTCTCTGTTGAAAATTAAACATCCAGGGCTTTGTTCCTCACAGATCTGTAGCTGCAGACAATTGTTCCTAAGTAAACAAAAACCTAATGATTCACTGGCAGCCCTGCACAGTCACTGTTTTCAGATATAAATGAGTACAGAGGGTACAAAACAAAGGTAATCAGGCGCTATATATCCTATGTATTTCTGTGTCTTCTGAACAGGAGGTAATTGAGTCCAACATACTAAGTTTCCATCCAGACTCTCCCTTGTACATATATACAACCACAACGTTTGATAAATACTTGCTAAGAATTCTGTTTCTTTATTCTGGCATCTTCTATTCAACTTCATATTGTCTGAATCAGCAAATAAATAAAAACAAAACAAGTTTTTCAGTCTTTTGGTCAGTGGAATGTGCTAAGATTATGTTGTTTCCCCACTTCTATTCTAACAGGTACAAAAGACTCCTCTGTAGCTGCATAACTCCGATAAACACATTCATATGCAAATAATATGACTGACTGAAACCTACCAAAAATATTTTTGTGTCCTACAAGCCTTTGAGTTTCATAATTTATGTATCCCAAGACTACTACTACTACTTACATGGAAAGGCAATGAGTTGGCTGGAGAAAAATTACTGCTGAAGATCCCTAACTATAAATGTAAGATTTATTTTATTTAATTATTTACTTTTGCATAGCAGCAGAACAGAAACTCGATTTTGTAGGGAGAGTTTGGCTTGCTTAATCTAGAATAACAAAGGTTGGTTTCAGGTACAACAGAATGTAACAAAAAATGAATGAAAATGGCTATTAATTCTAAAAGCAAATGGTCGTAACCTGTCCATGAAAAAAATTAGGTTGAAGATCAGAGACTTCCTAACCATTATGAGGGGTCCCCAAAATATGGCGTGGGTTTTACTGGATGTGTGTGAACGACTTGAAAGACGTATGTGAACACTGATCCAGTACCTAAACACTTTCAGAATAACCACGGCTGCTGCTGCTGTGGAGATAGCTACACAAAAGCAAAAAGATTTTGGAATTGCTAAGAATTGGAGTGAAACAGAACTTGCAGTCATTCAACAGGGAAACAGACCTCATGAACCTTTATGTCCTTTACAGTTCTAGATTTCTAGATATGGGAAATGTCAAAGATTTTACATTCTGAGGGAAAAAAATAAAAAAAAAAGAAAATCTGGGAAAGACAGATGCAGGGTAGTTACCTCTGGGGACAGATCACAGTCTGCCAGTTCTGTGAGGCATGGGAATGATGAATGGAAAGATACGGTTAATGCAAAGGAATTAACACAAAAAAGAAAGAAGGGTCAAAAAGGCAGAGGAGAAAAGAAAAGAAGAGCAATGCCTCTGAGGCTCAGGCTGGCCAAGGGAGAGGGGAGGAGGCACAATGGCATGCAGTGCAGATGTTGTGGTGGAGGATATCAGAGGCTGGAATTCATGTATTCCCAGGAACTGCTGAGTTCATGCATTCCCAGGAATGAAGAAACCACTCTTGTGAAGACACCTCTACTACGTGGGGGGCTAGATAAATGCCCTAGTAGTGCTGCCCTTCTTCCTCTGCTCTCTGAGCTGGGGTAGGAGGTGTGAGAGCAACTAGTGCCATTAGTCACCAGTTCTCCCAGTCATCTGAGACTCCAGAGGCAGCAGGAACTCCGAACCCCTACAGCTCATACTGTGAATTTCTTTTTGATATGCTCTCCTTGGCTGCTAGCTCTCTCATCAGCTCTTCCTAAGAGAGATAAAAGATAATCCCAAATAAAATTTTATCCTTCTCTAAAGTGGCATCTCAGCAGTGTATGCACTGCAAAACTCGCTTGAGAATAGTGCAAAAATTAGTTGTTAATTGGGTAAATCAGAAGGGGAGCTACCACCTTTGGATTCCTTGTGCCTTGTCAGCTGAATACTGGGAAAGTTGTGCCAAGTCTGAAGTAAAAGGCCCATGACATTGTTCTTGTTCTGTTCCACAGTATGGACACACACACTCTAGCCCATTGGTTGTAATACAAGAAACAGTTAACACACAACCCTGTACATTTCCCAGTGGAAAACTGGCCACATGCTTTACTTACTGGTTTTGAGGTAGCACAGGGAGCTGGTGTCATGATAGGAGGCTTGGCTGCACTTTGAGATGGAGGCAAAGAAAATCTCTGCCCTGTGTCCGGAGGTGAAGAACAGTGAATTCGTGTTTCTAGCCTCTCAGGCTCATGCTTATAGGATTCAAGAGGAAACGTGGGCTGCTTGGTCACTTGTGTTGGGGTAGATGGAGAAGAAGAGAGGCCAGAGGCTGTAAACAAGAATAATTACCAAAGATCAGCTCAGAAGAAAAGCAGACAGAAATCTCAGCTTTACAGTGAACCTGTATTTTTTCATCACATTTCCCCAGACTAAAAGTATGTATCTCACCTCCTTGTTTATGAAAAGGATTTCTCCGCCTTGCCATTAAAACTCTTTTAATCATTCAACTGGTTCAATTGTCAGATCCATT